GGCAACGTACTGCCCCGAAGCAGTGCCCTGGATGGCCACGACCCTCAGCCCCACCGGGATGAGATTAAAGAGGGCTGTGGGCAGATACATGAAAGTCAGGCTGGACACCCCCCACCGCTGGATGGACCCTCCCCCCCCTTAAAACCCACCACTCACTGAAGCTATTAGAGTCCTCACGGGTCCCATCAATGATGCCGTCTGGGTGCATGCAGAGGTGGAAGCCATGGCGGCAGAAGAGTTTGGTCACAATGCCCTTCAGCTGTGGCTCTGGAAAGACCCCAGCCCCAGGGGGCAAACAGTGGTGAGAGCTCAGACAGCCCAGAGGGCTCCTAAACTCCCTAATTCCACCCACAAACCCTCCTCCCAATCCACCCATGGCTGATCCTGGGCACTTGGACTTGAATGCAGGGCTGGGGGAGGCAGGGATGGAAGACACAGACCCACCTCTAGGCATCTCATGAGGGCCAGGAGGCCTCGTTAGGCACCAGACCTACTATGGGATATGCTAGGGAGGCAGTAGGGAGTGGTGTCTGCAGCACCAGACCCGTGTCTCCCACCTGCGGGTGGGGACAGTCTTGTAGCTAAGGGCAGAGGCAAAAGGAAGTGAGGTCCAGGCAGCTACTTCCTGTCCATAATAATGCTAGAGAAGGTGAAGGGAAGGGCAATGAGGATGATGTGTGGCAGGGTGGGGCTCCCGTAGGAGGGCAGACTAACAAGGGTAAGGAATGAGAGAGTGGAGTGGCGAGATGGATAAACAGACAATAAGGTGGATGGACAGACAGATGGATAGGCGGGTGGGTGGATGGATGGATGGACGGAAGGACAGACGGAGAGATGGATAAGTGGGTGTGTGCATGGACGGATGGATAGGTGGGTGGGTGAATGGACAAATGGATGGATGGGTGGGGGGATGGATGGATGGATCTATGGATGGATGGACAGGTGAGTGGGTGGATGGATGGATGGATGGATAGGTGGGAGGGTGGGTGGGGGGACGGATGGATGGACAGACGG